AGAGCTGGTGTATGTCCTAGAGGAAGTATTTTCAGCTTGATTTTTTGAATTGCGTCTGGCCCTCCCCATCTGAGACAATTGCTAGAGCTCAGTCGTCTACTTTTTGTAGTTTCTTGATCAACCACTGGGGGAGCTCTTCCACCACACTTGGAAGGTTCCCCTGACAGGGGTAGCTTTTGGGGAAAGTGGGTTTTCTTGTCTCGCCCCTCCTCCAGGGGTGCAGCCTACCACTTTGGGCAAGAGAGCTGGGGGCTGAGGGGAGGCGGTATCTCCCCAGTCTGCCCTGCACCCGCCCCAGTGGCTGTGACTCCCCTGGGCTGCTAGACTTCTCAGTAGATCCTTGATGGCGCCAGGCCTGATGAGCCGATCGCAGATTGTGTACGGGCGGGATTTGCCAGGGGAAACTCTAGGCTGGGCGAGGGCGGGGGACTTGCCCGCTGACGGCTGGGGTGTGGCCCCCCTCAATGGCAATCGCTAGCCCACTTGTAGGGCACCAGTACCGGGGGCGACTGATTAGGGTGCAGCCGGTGCCAGGTTGGGGGCCTGGGTCAATAGGACGCCTGCAGGTTCCTCCAGGCCGCCTGCCCGACCGCCTGTTCAGTGGGAGCGGAGGCTTTTACTGACCCGCCCTGTGCGGTTTTATTCGCCCGGGGCAGTTCCAGCTTAGAGCCCCCGCTTAGTCTCCCTGGTTACGCGGGGGGACCTCTAACCGCCTCCCTGGTCCACATAGATCAGTTTCCTCCCGTCCTGGAGCCATCCTGGCACGGGGCTGGGGGGACCACGCCGCCGCCTCTCACCATCAACCGCACCCTCCAGCAGCCTTTTCTGCTTCTGCGACTTCGCACCAGGTTCAGACAGGTCCCTGGCGGGGTGGGTGTGGAGGTCGATGGGGAGTCAAGGAGTCCTCCTGTGGGTCTGATCCTACTCCACCCCCGGCCCGGCGCCCTCCCCCGTGCCCTGTTGTTTGCTTTGCACTCTCCAGAGAACGCGATCTTACTTCCAGATGGCCTTGTTTATCCTTTTATGAGAGTCCCCCGTTGCTCCTCTGCAGATCTCAACGCTGTCCTTGTAGTGGGGAGATCCACTCTCACGTAGGAGACCAAGATCTGTGCGTCCTTCTCTGGGAGCAGGAGTCCGGAGAGTCACCTCTACTCCGCCATTTCTTCTCCTCCTCAGTTTTAGGATATTCTTTTGGCCAAGAGGGGGTCCATTGCGTCAGCCTGTGGGGTGTGAGCCTTAAGGTTTTATTTTAGTTCACAGGTGCATCAAGAACTTGAGAGTAGCTGACTGCACGGTCCCAGCTCAGGGTTGCCCCTGAAGCTGCAGCCACACTGCTGTAGGAGGCGTGCTGCATTCAGAGTCCAGAGCAGGTGGCCAGACCCTGGTCAGGGGTCGGGGGGGAGGCGGGGGGGAGACTGTCCCCTGTCCCTGACCTCTTTAGGGAATGTGGATGAGCTAAGGGCAAAGGGAGAGCCCCCCTGTGGGGCAGCATCCCTGAGTCAGAGGGAAGGCTCCATGGGATAGTGGGCCAGCAGTGGGCCCTGGGGACACCCCCAGCCTGTCTGGGAGGGACATAGAGTAGGGGGCTCACAGAAGGGACAGGACAGAGGACACTGCCCAGAGACCTGAGGCATCTTGGCAGTTCCATCACTTTGGCTGTCAAGCAACTCAGAGGTAAACCCTGAGCTGAGTTTTGCGGCTAAGAAGTTTGAGGCAGGTGTGTTTTCTTCCTTCCCATCTGTCTTCTTGATAACCCTGATTTGGGGGGGATTTTTCTTTTGTTTTGTTTTTCTTACCCGAGGCAAGTTGGGCCCCGGGGCTTCCAAATATCATGCTAGTGGAAAATGAGTAATTATTTCTCTTTATCAGTTCATTCTACATTTACACAGATTTCTTGGTCTCTCTATGTGTAATTGACCAAATTTCAGGCAGGGTATAGATAATATTTACCAAGTATATTTCTATATTCTATATTAATTGAAATTACAGCCACTGGCTTAAGTCTCTGCAGGGTAGGGTAAGGGGAGTGTTGCACTCTTGAAATAGCTTCTGTAAGGTGCCTGCCCTCCCTGCAATTAGGTAAGTACCTGGGCCTTGCCTCCACCTGTAGTGTTTTCCTGTTTTTTCCTACACAGTGTGCAGCTGTGTTTACAAATTTTCTTGCACTCTGGTAAGATGAGAAAATTTTTTCAAAAACACTAATGAGGACATTAGTGTGGGTTCTGATCCAATCTGACTGGTGTCTTCTTAGGAAAAGAAAATTTAGAGCCACAGAAGGAGACACCGGAGATGAACACGCAGAGCAGAGGCCGTGTGAGGACACAGGAAGAAGGTCGCCCCTGCAGGCCAAGGACAGAGGCCTCAGGAGAAAGCAGGATGCAGACACAACTATGTTCTTGCAGCTTCAGAACTGCCAGAAGGTGAGCGTTGCTGCTCAGGCCACTGGGTCCTTGGCACTTGTGAGGGCAGGACTAGCGAAGGACATGGACAGGAACCCTGAGGCCTGGGAGGAGGGAGGAGGAGTCCGGGCTCAGGTGGGGGCAGGGCAGGGAGGGGAAGGTCAGGCTCCCAGGGGAGTCTCCTGGAGGACCCTGACTCCATCTCTGCTGTCTGGGGACCCGGGGGAAAATATTTCATCTCCCAACATGGACCCTGATGAAGGTGGCCCTGGGCATAGGGCTTCTCGTCCTGTTCTTGCATATTATGAAAACATGTTTGAGGTTAGACTGGGAAATCACTCACCAAAGCATCTGGCACATACTAAGTGCTCACAAGTAGTCACTGTGCATGATCCAGTGACACACGTAGGGTGACGTTCCTCCCGTGGGCAGCAGGAGGCACTGTGGGCCTGGGTTTGGGAACCTGAGTAGCTCCAAGTCCCCTGGTGGAGCTCAGGTGCCCAGGACAGGACTGATGCTTCCTTCCAGGCCCTTCTATGAGGTGAATCCACTCTCCACTCCTGACACCCATCTGACCCTTTAAAGAACTGGAGAAATGACCAGCGGGAGGCCCTGAGGCTCAGGGTTGGACAAGATCTGAGAGTCGCTGGGAATGGAGAAGCACCTGCATCCTCTGCTCACCAGGCAGCCCAACAAGCCACAAGAAATGAGGAAGCAGATTTGCATGAAGAGCCTCCCCTCCTGTGATAAGCCAGCCCCGCAGGTCCCTCCCCAGCTGTGGGTCAGAGGCAGAGCTCCGGGTGTCACCATGGCCTGGACCCCTCTCCTGCTCCCCCTCCTCACTCTCTGCACAGGTGCCGCCCCAGGCTCAGCCCCACAGCACCAGGGCTCAGCCTGGCCCTGACCTTCAGCCCAGCACAGGGGCTGCTGCAGGGAGTGGGGCCCTCTGGGAATGAGACCCTCACCCTCAGATCCCCCTCTCCTGTCCTCTCTTGCAGGTTCTGTGGCCTCTCAGCTGACTCAGGTGCCTGCAGTGTCTGTGGCCTTGGGACAGACGGCCAGCATCACCTGCCAGGGAGATGGCATAAGGAGCTATTATGCAAACTGGTACCAGCAGAAGCCAGGCCAGGCCCCTGTGCTGGTCATCTATGGTGACAACAACCGGCCGTGAGGGATCCCTGAGCGATTCTCTGGCTCCAAATCGGGGAACACGGCCACGCTGACCATCAGCAGGGCCCAGGCTGACGACAAGGCTGACTATCACTGTCAGTCCTTTGACAGCAGTGGTACTCACCCCACGGTGACACAGGCACATAGGGAAGTGAGACACAAACCCCTTCAATGTCTGTGACACTCTTCTCCTCTAGCCCTGGGACAACTCATGGCAGGACTGGCCTAGGTCACTCAGATCTGAGACCCCAGGCGCCTGTCCCTGCAGCCCTCCAGGCAGGCTCTGCACAGCTGGGTCAGGAAAGATCGGGCTGTCAGGCCTTGATGCCTGGTTCTGCGTGCACCAGAGTGAGACTGGGGAGAAACGATTGTGACCATGATCAAAGGAAGGAAGGAGCGAGGGACACAGGTTTCATGTGGTTCTGGGGCCTAGATACCCATACATGGGGTGACTGAGCCTGGCCCAATGCCTGTGCTCATGCCCAAATATCCTAGAATATTCCTCTGAGGCACCCAGGGTCGCCCCCGCTAAACCGTGCAGGGCTGGGACTCGGAGCAGAGAAGACCAGCGTGGTGCTCGCTGCAGATCTGCTCCTCAGGGGGACCCGCCGGCCCTCTGCTGCTGGGGTCCCGGGCAGCTCCTGACTGTGCCCCTGTGGGAGTTGCTCAGGCTGCAGGACTCCCCCACCCCGGTTATGCCCCGTCTCAGAGTGTGGCCAACAGCGAATAATCGCCTGAGACCCCCGTACCAAGGCCCTGTGTCAGGGTAGCATGAGCTCCGATGGCCTCCCAGCTGGGGCCTCCATCGTAGCCGCATTCCAGGTTCCCAGCTCTGCCTCCCAACCTCCCTCCAGAGATTATATATTATGCCCCTCTGAGTGCAGTTTACCACTCAGTGTCTGATTCCACAGAACAGAAAATACAGAGCACCCTACAGAGAAGAGTATGGAAGAAGAGAGAGCTGCTCAGAGACACGGCTCTGGAATCTGCAGTTATTCCTGAGTGCTCATGAGCATGTGTGGAAGGAGAAGAATCACTGAAAGACATTTGAGGGAACATTTGCAGGACACACACACACACACTCACACACACACACAATCTGGACTGTGCTTGTTCCAACAACCAGAGTGGACAAGCACCTAATTAGGGGCACGAAATTGACCTGTTAGAAGAGCTTGGCCCCACTACCAGGGAGACACAGCTGGAGTCTACGGTCCTCTCCTCTCCCAACGTGGGCAGTCTAAGAATAATCTCAGTGAGGATCCAACTGTCTTCCAGTTACTTCTCTGAATCCAAGAATAAAAACCAAAAATATATAGAGAAATATAAAAATGCCATGCACTCCACAAAAAAAGTTTACACTGTCTAGCATCCTGTCCAACTTCCTTCAAGAAAATAGGAAAATATAAAACATAAGAAGCAAGAAAGTTGAACACTCTCTACTGGCCCTGAATTTGCACAGGTAGTAGACTTTTTAGATTAGGATGCAAAAGAAGATATTATAATCATATCCCATTTATTCTGGAGGGCACAGAATTGACCGAACATGTGAAGGGAAAAAACTAAAGACATTAAAAAAACACCTAAATTGAATTTCTAGAAATGACCCCCAGAACGTGTGTGGTAAAGGATACATTGAATGAGCCTGACAGCCTAGTAGAAGCTGCCAAAGAAGAGATGGGTGAACTTGGTGACGCAGCAATAGGAACTCTTGGTAACGACACACAGGAAAAAGGTTGAAAGAACAGCACACCGGTGAGTTATAGGACAAAGGGATCCAGCCAAGAATGATATAGTAGGAGTCTCTGAAGGAAAGAAGTTGGGAAAATTGATGAAAAAGTATTTAATGAAATCATGACCAAAATGCTCCAAAGTTCTTAAAAATTATAAACCTCCGGTTCCAAGAATTGCAACCAAACCCACGATCCAAATAAACACATTCAGAAGTGTAAATGCATTAAGAAAATTGAGCATGAGGATATCACAGTGAAAAAGGATCAGTGTTTAGTTCGGTCATTTATAGGTTCTAAATTTTACTCTATAGCAAGAAGGACATTGAGGAAGGAGACATTCTTAATCGCCAGAAGCTGAGCTCTCCACTAAACCAGGGCTTCAGAAAGCAAGTATCTTCTTCAGAGCTAGAGTCGTTCCTGATAATAGGAAAATGGATATAAGCGCAATCCTTGAGTCATCCAGTGGTGATGATGATGGTGGTCCGGCTGAAGAAAATGATGAAGAGAAGAAAAAGAGGCCAAAAAGGCAGAAGAAGAGGTGCCTGAGGAAGAACTCGACCCTGCAGGGAGGGACAACTCCCTCCAACAGCTTTACAAGTTCATGGAAGACAGAGGTTCCCAATCAACAAGAACACTCAACAAACACACATCTGGTCAAATGACTAAGGAACAGCGATGCAGGGACACTATTAAAGGAGAGGCGGGCATGGTGGCTCAGACCTGTCACCCTAGCACTGGGGGAGGCTGAGGTGGGAGCATGGCTTGAGCCCAGAAGGTTGAGGTTGCTGTGAGCTATGAGGTGCCACCGCACTCCAGCCTGAACAACAGAGCAACACCCTGTCTTACAAAAGAAACAAAAGGATACAAACAAAAGCTCCAAAGCAACCAAAGAGAAAATACATGTTAGATATAACAGGGCAACAAAGCAACAAGGGCAAACTTCTCATTAGAAGCAACGCAGGCAAGAAGACAGGGACCCGCACGTCGAAATGCTAGAAGAAAAAACTGTCACCTTGTATTCTTTGCTCAGTGAAATATCTTTCTAAATAATGACCCCCTCCCCCAAAATACTTTTCCAAATATAGAAAAACTTCCAACGCTGATCTTCCGCAGACCGTTACTAAACAAAATAATAAAGGGCTCCCCTCATACAGAAGAAAAACGATACCAGAGAGAAATGGGAATCTACATGAAGAAATGAAAAGTATTACGTATGGTAACTACCTAGATAACTATGTTAATATCGTATAATTGCAAACAGAAGGACTGGAACAGCACCACAGAACAGCTAGACTTAGACATATACACAACTCTCCATTTCAGAAGAAAATAACTTACCACCCAAGGCTACAGATGCAATGCGATCGCTATCAAAATACTAATGACATATTTCATACAAATAGAAAATAAATCCTAAAATTTGCATGGAATCACAAAAGACCCCAAATACCCAAAGCAACACTGAGCAAGAAGGAAGCTGGAAGCAAGCATGGCGCTCCCTGACTTCATAGTATACTACGAAGCTATGGTAACCAACACACCATGGTATTGGTGTAAAGACAGAGACAGACCCAGGAAACAGAAGAGAGAACCCAGAAATAAATCCCCACATTCACAACCATGGGACTTCCCAGAAAGGAGTCTAGAACATGCATTGGGAAAAGAACACATTTTTCAATAATGTTTCTGAGGAAAGTAAATATTCAGAAATTAAATATTTGCAGAAGAATACAACTAGACCCCTATCACTCACCACATACAAAAATCTCCCCACAATAGATTAAAGAGTTAAATGTAAGACTCCAAACTGCAAAACTACTAGAAGAAAACATGGAGCCCAGGAGAAATGTTTAGGACAGTGAAAGGTTTTATGGCTAAGACTGAGAGCTGAAGGCCCCAGCCCCCAACTCCCAGAGGCTCCACTGAGGTCTTGCAGCCCAGCGCCCAGCTCTGCCCAGCCCGCGCCCCTCCTGTCCTTCCCTGGTCCTGGGTCTCTGCTCTGCCTGGATCCCACACGCTCCGCTCTAAGTGGGACTTTGCCTCCTTGTCAACATGACATGATGCGCTTGTTCTCTTCTCCTTTTTTGTTAATGGTGGTGTCATTTACATCCAGTACAATCCGCCCTCTCTAGAGAACTTTTGTGACTTTTGACAAATGCGTGTAGATGTGTAAGCACCTCAAACAAGACAAATGACAATGTCAACCCCCATGGACTCCCCAGGTCCCTCTGGAGTCATGCTGTCTTTCCACCCCAACACCAGGCCACTGCTGACCCCGTGCTGGGCAGGGCAGGCAGACGGTGAACACTGGCACAGGGTGAGGCTGGACTGAATGGGCCCCACCCACCAGGTGACAGGTGCTGTGGGGGAACCTGGAGGAGTGCCTGCCCTGAGTCTCCTCCACCAGCAGGGGGCGGCAGAGCTGCAGCTGGAGCAGCAGGACACAGGCTGGGGCTGCCCAGGTGGGGCCTGAGGAGGATGTCAGCCTGGGTCAACAGGTGTCCCAGGCTCAGTCTTCAGACAGAAAGTTGGACATTCCATCCTGTCCCCATAGGCTTTAGAGGACACGTTCTGAGGGTCAGACTCACAGAGCGTCACCCCAGGACGCTGACGGGAGCCCGGGCAAGTGAGTGTCTCACCTGGAAACAGCTGGAGGGGCCTGGGGACAGGTGTCAGCCTCAGCAGCTACCACAGGGCTGGGATTCCCTGGGGCCACCCAGAGGTCCAAGAACTCTGTCATGGGACCATGTGTGAGGGGACTGGGCTCCCAGGGCTGGGTCCTTCCCTAGGGGGCGGCCTGAGCCTCCTGCCCACACCCAGGTCATCGACCCCTATACAGCTGTGGTCCTGGGAGCTGAGCCTCTGTCCCGGGCACTGGCAGGGACACCCCGACCACTCGTCCCCCTGCCTCTCCCCCTCCAGGCAGGCTCTGCCCTCAGGCCGCAGCTCCTGTGCTCAGCTGGGGCTCAAGGCTGGGCTTTCGGGGTCCTGGTCTCTGATGGAGCCTGTGCAGCCGCCTCTGGGAGGCTCTGCCCAGAGGGAAGGGGACTGTCACCTGCCTACGGTCTCGGCTCTGCCCACCAGGCTGTCTTGGTCCAGTGACAGGATCTGTGTGGGTGGAGGGACCACTGAGCACCCCGCTCCAGAGCTGGCACCTGTGCAGACCTGACCCTGGACCCGCACAGGGACCACGGCCCGGAGTTGGAATCTGAGTCAGGTGGGTTTCTGGAGCTTTTTACAAGTTCACATAAAACATTAATAGGAAAAAATAAAGAATGGAGAACTGATGGTGTCAAATGCTTGTCTACCGTGGGGGTGGGGATGACACTGAGAACAACAGCACCTGAGAAGTGAGACTAGATATCCTGCTGCTTAAGTGAACACACTGTGGCATCAGAAACACTGTCCAGTATCCTAACGACACAGAACATAATCTTGATGAAATGACCAGGTGGGACCTTAGTGATTCTGGGGACCCAGAGGGGAGATGGAGGAGAAGGAAGAGGATGGTCCGGGTCCCTCTATGCTGGGGCAGGTGTGGCCAGTTATCTCAGGCTCCTGGAAGGGACACGGCCCTGCTGAGCCCCACCCAGGACAGACCCCAGCCAGGAGGGTTGGGACAGGGGTCATGGGATCAGTCCCCAGGAAGGAGACTGTGACCTCAGGCCTTGGAGGCCCAGGCTGATTTGCTGACGGGAGAGCACATGGAGGAAGCCCAGGCGCTCCCTCCCTGCTCAGTCCCTGAGCTGCCCCCACAGCAGGGTGAGTGACATCCCCAAAAGAGGAGGCCCAGGGGACAGGAATTTGCATAAACACCAAACACTCCCTGCCCCCCAGGGCCTGAGAGGGAATAAGAGGGGCCTGAGGGAGCCCAGCTGTGCTGTGGGCTCAGAGGCAGAGCTCTGGGTGTCACCATGGCCTGGACCCCTCTCCTGCTGCCCCTCCTCACTCTCTGCACAGGTGCTGCCCCAGGCCCTGCCCCCGAAGGACCCCAACCTGGGCCTGCCCCAACCCTGAGCCCAGGGAAGGCCTAGCCTCTGGGTTACACCCCTGAGAATGGGACCCTCACTCTTCATTTCTTTCTCCTCTTCTGTCTTGCAGGCGCTGTGTCCCCCTATGAGCTGACACAGCCTCCCTCAGTGTCAGTGACCCCAGGACAGACGGCCAGGATCCCCTGCTCTGGAGACAAACTCGGTGAGAGATACGTGCACTGGTACCAGCAGAAGCCGGGCCAGGCCCCTGTGCTGGTCATATACGGGGATAGCAATCGGCCCTCGGGGATCCCTGAGCGGTTCTCGGGGTCCAGCTCGGGGAACACGGCCGCCCTGACCATCAGTGGGGCCCAGGCCGGGGACGAGGCTGACTACTACTGTCAGGTGTGGGACAGCAGTAGTGATCATCTCACAGTGACACAGGCAGATGGGGAAGTGAGACACAAACCCCTTTCTCATCTGTGTCACCCTGTCCCTCCAGCCCAGGAGGACTGAGGACAGGGCGGGGGCACATCTGGCACCTCAGGCAGCTCTGTGGGGGGGCGGGGGGGGGTGCAGATTGTCCGACAGGAGCAGGATTGTCTTGTCCATCAGGGCCATTGTGTGAGTAGAGAATGAGGGTCCGAGTGGAAGGACAGACACAGGGAGACATCCGGTCACTGTTCTGTCCTTGCATGGCCTATGGTGGCCATGGTTAGGCCAACTGATGACATCTGTCCTCGGAAAGGCCACGCCCTCTGGGCCCCAAGCTGCCACAGCAGCCTGAGACTCTGAATAGAGCAAACTACTGAGGTAGACATGGTGTCCCCTCCTCAGGGCCACCCGCCCACCAGCCCTGCCGACTCCCTGCAGCTCAGAGCTGGGCTCGCTGGGAAGTGCTGCTGGTGCGGCAAACGGTGTCCCCCAGCGTGCCCCTCTCAGAGACGTCCAGTGTGGTGACAGTCTGTGCCCGGATCCCCGCCCTGCCTCAGTTTGGGATGCCCTTGGGGGCCCAGCTAGGAGCTCCCTGAGGGGCTACCTGCAGCATCGGTGGCAGCTGCATCAGGGTCACTGTCCCTCTGCCCAGTGCTGCCTCCCTCGCCACCCCCCATGCTCTGTGCCTGCAAATCTGGGTCTCAGAGTCTGATTCCAGGAACCAACCTGAGAGGGCCGCTGTCCCCACTGAGGCCATCAGGGACCTGAGGAGGCCTCTGCACACTGGAAATCTCTGGTTTCTCTCCTGAGCCCCAGTGTGGGCTCCTAACGCCCAGCTGAATGTGCTGTTCCCTGCGTATTTGCAGAGTGACCAGGGAGCCTGACAGGCAGGCGCTCCGTGGTCATGGGGGAGGGGCAGACCCTCCTGCAGCCGGTCCAGGCGCCTGGGGAGCAGCAGCCTCGGACCACGCAGGGAGCCCGGGTCACCCACTGGGGAGCCTGGGGCTGCCTCGCCCCGGCCCACACCGTGCGGCATCATCAGTCCTTTCCGCAGCCCTGACCAGGAGTGCAGATGTCACCGGTCCTGTCAGCACACACTCCAGCCCGTCACAGTTCTCCCTGACAAGCTCCCCGAGCCCTCCCTTGTCCCCAGGAATCCCGTCCCCGTCTCCACCGACCTCACAGCTCCACAGAAAGCATCTACTAAAAGAAGAAGGAAGCCATGGGAGAGTATGTAGAATCTCTTATCAATAATTTGATGTCGGTTACGTCTCGAAATGACCTATCTGTGATATTAATATGTTGGGTAAAATAAAATATATCCTTTCAGCTGATTCACCTGTCTCCCCTTTCCATGGTG